CAACGGGCTAGCCTACCCGTAAGCGCTGGTTTCTCAAAGAGGTATTTGATAGGATCTAATCTCGAAACCAGAATTATGGAGTGAGCTAACAGGTAGTGCCTCAACTTCCTAGTAGCCTATACCAAGGCCGAACAAGCCTTCTCAAGCGGAGTGTAACGGGTCTCATATTCTAGCATCTTCTTGCTCAGGTAGTAGATAGCCTTCTCCACTTTATCCTCAGATTCCTGCACGTGCAGCCCATTATCGTGTCGGTTACTGATAGATACAAAATCAACGGTTTCCCGGCTCTGGCGGTGACAACACGGGCGGGTTCTGTAGATATTGCTTGATCTGCTCGAAAGCAACTTGGCATCGGTCATCCCATTGGAGCTTCTTTCCTTTCTTCAGGAGACCAAACAGTGGTTCACAAGTCAAGGTTAATTTTGTAATAAACCGTCCTATGAATTGCACTTTACCTAGAAGCCTTGCACCTCCTTTTCAGTCCTTGGTGGTGGCATTTTTAGTATGGCCTTGATTTTGGAAGGATCGACTTCGATGCCCCTTTGTGTAGTTAAGAACTCCAGCATTTTCCCTGCTGTAACACCAAAAGTACATTTCTGAGGATTCAGTCGCAATCGATACTCTCTGATTTGTTGGAAAATTTTCTTCAAGGCGGTGTAGTGGCCTTCCCTTTCCTTGGACTTGACAATCATGTTGTCCACATACACCTCAACCTCTTTGTGGATCATATCGTGCAAGATAGTATTTGTAACCCATTGATAAGTAGCCCCAGCATTCTTCAAACCGAACGGCATCACCTTATAGCAGTAGGTTCCCCATGGGGTGGTGAAGGCAGTCTTCTCCCTGTCCTTAGGTGCCATCAAAATCTGGTTTTACCAGGAAAATCCATCCATGAAGGAAAGCAGCGCATGCCCGGCAGTGAAGTCCACCAGTTCATCGATATGCGGCAGAGGAAAGTCATCCTTCAGACTGGCTTTATTTAGATCTCTAGAGTCCACACATACCTGAATTCTGCCATCTTTCTTTGGCACCGGAACTACGTTGGCTAACCAAGTGGGATATTCAGATACTAACAGGAACCCTGCATCAATCTGCTTGGTGACCTTTTCCTTGATTTTCAGAGCCCAATCTGGGTGGATCCTCCGAAGCTTCTGCTTGACGGGTCGGGCCTCAAGGTCAAGAGGGATCCGGTGTTGTGCAATCTTAGGATCGATTCCAGGCATGTCTTCGTGGGACCACGCAAAAACATCTTTGAAATCTTTTAATAAAGCGACTAAGCGTTCGCGTTCCTCTGAAGACAACGTGGACCCGATCTAGACCAGATGCGGATCCTTCTCAGTACCAACATTAATTGAGGTGATTTCATCAACCAAAGGTTTTACAAACCTCTCCTGCTCTCGATCAATCAGATGTTTCAAAACTGGAGGAATTTTTTCCTTGTCGTTTTCATCAAAGTTTTGAAATTCCTGATTAATGCAATAAATGAGCGGCATAGAAAAGTACTTAGAAACCACAGGATCATTCTCATTAACAACTTCCAGTTCATCTAATTCTTCGGTTACAACCGACTCAAAAGAAAATGAAAAAGATGACCTGGACAAAACAACGGCATCCGGTATATCAACCGTAGGAATACCAGACTCTAACTCAAAAGAACTAGAATCTGATTCTGACTCCACAGACTCTGTGGAATCAGATTCTGGTTCGTTACCTGACCCAGAACTACTTGACAAAAAGCCTTCCTTGTACTGCCAAACGAGTGAGGGTGCAAAAGATGCGTCCAAAATCCCAGAAGAAGGGCCCACAGCTGTTTGATCTCCAATCATAGAAACAGAGAAGTCATCCTCCAAGCACTCCGGTGTGATCTGAGGATCTGAGAGGAGACAAGCCAGCGCTGCTCCTATCTCAAGTTATATGTCATTGAACTCATCCTCTTTGCACTGTTCAGCCACAGCTGGTGGGTCAGTCTGTTCTTCCGCAACTTTATCCCCTTGCAATTGAAGGTCGAAAAATATCTCGAAGTCGGGCAAACGTCGCTTCTCAGAATTCAGCAAGGGCTCCGAAAAGCCACAAAACGAGAAATCTTCCCCCTCCTGAATGAAGCTACCGTTCAGGGTTCCTTGAATAGGTCTGTGCACCAGCTTGTAGTGCTTCCCTGCTTGCTTAGCCTTGGCTCTTCCGGCCATTTCCCTTCCTTTCCTTGCCCAATCCTCTCTGGTAGGTGTGTAGCCTAAACCAAAGGTATAAGGGTTATGTGGCACTTCGGCCACTACCGTGACGCCCTTCCGGCCACTCCGTCCCAATTCTATTTCGGGCATGTGTTGAAGCTTGTTCATACAGATTGCGCACTAACATACAGTCCCTCATTAACAGCCAGCATATCCTGCACTACCCGAGCCTCAGCCAAGGTGAATCCTGACAAAAAGACATCCTCCTCGCCGTGTTCAATTTCCAAGACCGGTGTAAAAACCTCTGGCGGCGGATGTATGGAAGAGTTCCCAAAAATAATTGCTACCCCCTTCCCATGGGGGTACTTCAGCATCTGATGTAAAGTAGAAGAGACAGCTGTCACTTTGTGCAGGCATGGCCGCCCAAGAAGTAAATTAAAGGTGGCTGGAATATCCAAGACATGAAACTCAATGTCCTGTTGTGCCGGGCCAACTTGAGTTCTGATCCGTACTATCCCCATCATTTCCCGATTGGCATTGTCATAAGCCCGAATCACTTGGGCTGTTGGTGCAAAATCTGCCGGCTTCAAACCGATGGCATAGGCCATGCGCGACGGACACACATTAATCGCAGATCTCGTATCAACCAGGATAACTGGTATCCACTTCTCCTTACACGCCACAGAGATGTATAACAGCTTGTTGTGCTCAGAGCCCTCAGGCGGTAATTCTTTATTTGTGAACGTCAAGGTCGGTGAAGCGCCACTCGGGAACACCAATCCCACTAACTGCTCCAGGGTTGTATCAATAGAAAGCTTAGCCTTGTCCATTGCTGATAGGACGGCTTGTCTATGAACCCGTGAGGCCATAAACAGTCCCCAGATGGAGATGTCTGCTTGAATTTTCTTCAACTGCTTCAGTACAGCTTCCTCCTCTAGCAGTTTATCTTTCTGTTTTTCTGCTTCCTTGTCTTTTCCTAATGCCTCTGGCTGATCCAAATGTGGGGGCTTGAAGTACCACCTACTCCAGGTCATGTGATCGACCTCCTCGGTGTACTAAGTATCGTCTGGTTGATTCTGACCCCAGTTCTCATCAGTATGGGCAAGACGCAAATCATCGTCCTCCCACCACATTCCCTCGGCAACCGATAAACAACTGTCCGGTTCCGCCATAACTGTTCCCGTGTTCACAACATATTTTATCCCCTCAGGACCCTTGGCTTTTCTAGCCCTCTAATCAATCTCAATTCTCTCCTGTTCGAACCGCTTCTGCGCGGCCTCTTATTCTTTGTTAGCTGTACACAAACTGCCCAATTCCTGAGCAAAATTCTCAGTACCGGTGCTCTCTGGCAACTTCCCCTCATTGTTGACCGTTTCAGCAGTTGCAGACGTTCCTGTTTCTGACTGTCCCTATTTTGGTAGAGACCCCTCATCAATACCCGGCTCATCACTAAGCCACCATATATTATCCGTTCCTCGGTTCACATCAAACCAACCAACCTGTACATCCTCCAAGTCCTGTTCATCAAAGAACTGCAGGTTGCTGATATCCTCCTCAAGCTTAGCTAGATCATCCAACCCCTGGCTCGGCCCGTCCTCCTGGACTACATTTAACTCCATCCCCACTGGAAATTCCACCATTGGCTTAGCCTGGCTCGTTGGCACGATGTAACAGTAAGGGTTGTATGCTTCCTCAGTTAAGTTCACAGAGCCCTCAGGCATGTCCTCTTCTATCACAGCCATCACCATAGGTAGGTTGGGGTAGGGACGTGCTCATCATGCACAAGTCTGTGCTTTCTAGGATGAATAGCGCCAACTTAGGCAGGTGGGAGGGAGTGATGTATATGCTGGGATTGTATGGGACGGCCACTGTTTGGATCAGGTTCACTTACCTAAGTAGAGGCGGGGGTTGGTTATGTGGTGGGAGAGGGTTTGTTGTGACGTTTGCCTTCTCAGGAGGCGCTATCACTTTGTTGTCAATGAGATCCTAAATCTCATGACAGAGTCTAAAGCAGAGGTTGGTGTCATGACCATGCTGCTGGTGGAAGGCGCAATACTTGGCCGAGTTGTGTGTAGGAGGGAAGGCATTTGGCAATGGGCGTGGTTCCAAGGGCTTCATATGTCTTTTTCTTATTAAGACCCCCAAGGCTTTGGATAGAGACATGTAAAGTGGGGTAAAAACCCTCTAGCCCCGGGGTGGGTACTTTGCAGGTTGTATGGTGGCTCTAGATATGGCGGTAAAGGATGTGGCTGTTTTTGGTGTGGTGGTGACCATACCGATGTCAGAAGTCCTCGCAGCTGCATTGCTACTCGTAGCTGCATTCGAACTGCATGTAAATGCCCTCTTGGACTGCTCCTTTTCATGGTCAATCAGCCCCTGTTTCATATCATCTTCTATCTGTTCCCCTATCTCATGCAAGTCAGCAAAGGTGAGGAGGGGTAAGACAATCATCCTTTGCATTAACTTCAGTTGCAGATTCCGTACGACCATTCTTATGTGGTCCTTCTCAGCTAGTCTGGTGGTCATCATGGAGGCCTTGTTCCTCCATCGAGTAACGAAGTCAGAGAAACCCTCATTTGGCTCTTGTCGAGTGGCTTTGAGATCACGATTTGTGAACTTAATTTGGGTGTTGTAAGAATATTGGGCGACAAAGGGCTCGACCATCTCTTCCCAACTCCTTTTCACGGAATCCTCCAATTTAGCATACCAGATGGCCGCAATACCCGATAGGGTCCGACCAAAAAGGGATAGCCTCTGTAACCTAGTCAAGCCCATCGGGCGTAAAATATTTGAAAATAGCCTCAAGTGAACCATAGGATCGCTCGAGCCATCGAAGTGGTCTATGTGAGGCATTTTAAATCTATCCGACAATGCCACCGCCGAATCTGTGTAGTCGTCCTTTATATATGGGATCAAATTGACTCCCTGAGCTCATTTGAACAGCTTTTCAAGCTTGCTTACTTTCAAAGCAGTAGGATCGATCTCAAACTCGAATGGTGTGTCTGTTGGGTAGGCCGGTGCTTTGGAAGTTTGAGGTGGGACTGGCCCTGCTGGAATGTCTGTATTCTCCTGGATAGTAGCTGTGTCCCTGGGCATCGGAACCCTAGGTGGGGGTGGGTGTGAAGGAGAAGCTCTGGCTTGTTGTGGTTGTTGTTGAAGTTTAGCAATTAGTTTAGTTTGTTAGGCTACAACCTCTGTTTGGCGAGCGGTAACTTCTGCTTGGGGAGCAGCATCCCGCTGCATGGCCTCAATAGTCTACTAAAATTGATGCATCATTTTTTCCATACTGTCTAAGGGGTGTTGATTTACTTGAACAGGTGTATACTCTCTTTCTGAGGTGGAAGCAGAAAATTGAACCCTACTGCGCACAGGTGAAACAAATAATGACCACTGAACTGGCGACTGTTATATCGGTGATCTATGCTTGATTGTCCTCCGTCTTGTAACCGGGGGTAGTGAAGCAAATATTGGTTATCCTCCAATAAGATCCTCAGATCAATAAAGCCTTCTACCTCTGATCTAGAGTGCTTGGGGGGAAACTGCCTCGTCGGAAGCAATTGCGAAATACTACCTTGCAAAAAGAAAAATAAAGCAAAAAAGAAACAACAATCAGTAAATGGACAGCATCTTGGCTTAGATAAGAACAACACACAGTTGAAATCATAAGCTGGACAAGCTGTACTCAAACACTGATTCTGCCCCCAAACATTCTACCTGAAAATTGATACTCCCAAATTGACACCCAGACTTGCAACCGATACATGCATTGCTGCAGAGACACACTCTAACAGCACATAGCAAGCAAGTAAAAGCCAAAACACCCCTATGGTGGGGTAGGGTTGCCCTGTCCTAATTTCGTCAGGAGCTAGGGTTTCACTATGCACGCATGCGGTTTCAAACAATCCTACATTCGGGTAAGCAATATGTTCTAGTTTGGAACAGTCTCTATGGCTTCCGATATGCAACTAGGTCAATTGGTCAAAAAGGGTGCCTCAGCAAGACCACCTAATATACCTCTCACACCTAACACCGAGAACTGAAAGGAGGATCAAACGGTACAGCGGTGATCCAGATCCAAGGTTTGTGTTTCCATCGTAGCAGAGCCTGTAACCGGTCAGCCTTATGGCACGCTTTTCTAAGCAAGCCTCCGACAAACCGTTCAGGAATAGCAGATGGCAAACACTGTGACTTAGGCGCACCAATGCAAATGCAATGCAAAGAAACACATAAGTGTAAATAAAACAACATATCATGAGTTCGAGTCAAGTTCTCTAAATCCCTAACAGAGTTGCCAGAAACTATAGACTCGATTTTCTTCACGCCCTCCCTTTCGGAGTGACTCGAATTGGTCCTACAGTTCGGACTCCTATCACGGTTTTGAATCTAATCTCACAAAGTACAATGTGAGACTGATAAACACCAAAGAGTCCAATTCGACAAGTCATTTTGGAAAATCAGATTTTAAATCAAATAATGCCAAAATTGGACTACTTTGCCAGATAACAGAGTCGCCACCTAAATATTTTATTTTTGGGAAATTTAGGAAACCCTGACTCGTGCCAAAGGCCACGTGTCTGTCATCACCAAAGTTGCCTCGGCTCGGGAACTTAGGTACAAGAGGGGAAGGTCCTGAAATGAGCACCTCCGCTCACCCGATC